TGCTGTGTCAAGTTGACAAAACCATCACACCAGGATGATGGCGTGAACTTTTAATCCTGGCGCTGGGGAAGTAGAGACAGGCAGATCTTGGCTCACTGGCCAGTCAATCTTGCTTATTTGGTGAGCTGCAGGTTCAGTGAGAGACCCCGTCTTTAAAAAAAAAAAAATCCCCAAGGTGAATGGTTTGAGGACCACATCCAAGGTTGACCCTCAGCCTTTGTAGCCACCTGCACACACGAAGAAATTATTAAGAAGACTCACATTTCAACTCTGGGGGAATCAAACCCAGAGCTTCATCAAGTTTCACACATGCTACGCCTCCGAGCCATACCCCAGGCCAGGTCGATCTTAAATATGTTTTTTTATACATGTTGTTAGACAATAATGCAGTCACAGATAACAAAGATGTCTAGACAGTTGTTGGAGGCAGAAGAAAGAGTGCAGGAGGGAAAGACCTTTGGAACATTCACCTTGCACCCTTGTGGCTGAGCCACTCACGGGTCCTCAGTTTGGCCCTGGCTCAGATTGCGGCTTCTCTGTCCCTGTGGCCTGAGTGTAAGGAGGCTTGTGGGGACTGGTGTCTCATCCAGATGGGAGAACATCCCAGAATTCTTGTCCCGTTCACTCATTCACAGCCATGCCCGGGGTAACATTTGACCACCCGTGATGGGGGACTCATAGACTACGTCACCGGTGACACAGGAGTCACCCTAGATGGAGTAAGAACCATCTGGGACACCAATTGCCTGGCTCTGAGTTTCTCAGAAAGGGTCCCCTCTGTTAAGGAACACATGACTGTATTTACCAAGAACTGATCCTCCTACCCGCCCCTGGCTTTGTTGTGACTCCAAAGCCTCTCAGCCACGTCTCATTCTCTCTTGGCACTAAGAGAATCCGAGTACTTTGAAGTTGGCTGCTTCTAACTGCTAGAGATGGAAGCCTCAGGCTGGCCCCTCTTACCTTGGCAGGGGGTCCTTCTTCATCACCAACTGTCCAAACGAACATCACCAGGGAGGGACTCCTCAAAAGTGGGTGCTCAGTCTTGGGGATGTTCCCATCCACCTCTGTAAGACCTATCATCCAGAGTGTAATCTTGCTCAAATGGTGAGGTCTGGCAAGTGGGGAATGCTGCCTTCTGAACTGAGTTGGCCGGTCCCTGTGCCTCACTTCCATTCTAGTTTGTTTGTTTGTGTGGTACTGGGGTTTGGATCCAGAGCTTTGCACATACTGCATATGAACTCAAGCATCAAGCTACATCTCTAGCCTCCCTTTTTCCATTCTATCTCCTAGAACTCTCTCATTTGCAAGTCTTTTTTTTTTTTTTAAGATTTATTTATTTATTATGTATACAGCATGTATGACTGCAGGTCAGAAGAGGGCACCAGATCTCATTACAGATGGTTGTGAGCCACCATGTGGTTGCTGGGAATTGAACTCAGGACCTCTGGAAGAGCAGTCTGTGCTCTTAACCTCTGAGCCATCTCTCCAGCCCCCATTTGCAAGTTTTTTATGGCAAAAGAACACTGATGGTTAATTTCTCTCTCTGTCTCTCTGTCTCTCTGTCTCTCTGTCTCTCTGTCTCTCTGTCCGTGTGTGTGTGTGTGTGTGTGTGTGTGTGTGTGTGTGTTTATTGACACAAGGGCTTGCTAGGTAGCCATGGCTGGCCCAGAACTCACTATGTAGATCAGGTTGGCCTCAGACTCTCAGAGATCCACTTGTCTCTACCTCCCAAGGGCTGGGGTTCAAGTTGTACACCACCACACTCATCCAATGATAGTTAATTTTGACTGTCAACTTGACAAAACCTAGGAGACCCACCTCTAGGCACGCCTATGATGGAGTGTCTGGACTGGGTTAATTAAAGTGGGACGACTCATCCTAGCGACAGGCAGCACCCACCCAGGGGTTGAGGCGCCAGACTGAATCCAAGGGAGGAAGCAAACTGATGGCATTTGCGTTCATCTCTCTGCTTCCTGCCTTTGGAAGCAGCATGACCAGCAGCCGCCATGCCTTCCCCATCGCGACGGGTTTCGTGCTTGAACTGTGAGACACAAGACACCTTTTCTCTCTTAGGTTGCTTTCGTCAGTGTTTGTCACAGCCATGAGACAAGTCCCATCAGTACTTCTGTCTTCTCCTCAGGGACTGGGGAAATGGAGAGGACAGTCATTCTGTCCCCAGGAACATCGGGCAACACTAGAGACATTTTTGGTCCTCACAGTTGGGCAGGGGAGCTACAGGCAGAGCCTGGAGATGCTGTCCCCACCCTTGGTGTCCAGGATGTTCCTACTGCAGAGAATGGAGATTCCAGTCTTGAATATTCCCTTGCTGAGTCCCGACCTTCCTGTTCCCTCATCTGTTCTCTGGCCAGCCTCGTTCTCAGCCTGCTGATGGCCCCATCTCCTTCCTCCTATCCCATGGGGCTTGCCTCTGTGAAAGGACATCAGCCCTTGCTGAGACTTACTTGATCAGCAGTCTCCACTATGGTCTCCCATCCACAGCCCTCTTCCCGTGATCCCCGTTCTGAAAGACTCTTCCTGATTTATCCATGATCCCCAGGACAAAATACATTTCATATTCACCAACAGGGCCCAGTTATTACTCCAACATCAGACCCTCTGCCTGTTGTGCCCTGGTCCAGGATGGCACTGGCTGTCTTTGGAAAGAGGACCACAGTGAGGCTCCAGCTAGGTAAATGCATGCCACATCAGCTGTCACCAACGGCATCGCCACACCTCAGTGGCTCATAGCAGCATCCCAATTCCTTGGGACTCAGAGGCTCTGCTGGGTGTTTTGTTGGTGTTGTTTTCCATTTTGGCTGGGCTCCCTGGGTGTCTCTGAGCGGCTGCAGTACACACATAGCTATGTTCATCTTTTCTTGTCCTTCATACTCCCGCTTTGGGCTGGGACAACCGGGCCGTCTCATTCCTGCTCCCCTGCTGTGTAACTTTAAACAGGCCCCTTAACTTCTCCTTCCACCATATGGGTCCCATTAATTAAACTCTGGTCCTCGGACTTGGAAACAAGTGGCTTATTTACCGAGCCATGTTGCTGGCCCCCAACCTCTCATTTTGTACGGCTCCAGGGCCGGAGCAGCAGAGGTGATTGGTTCAGATGATACAAGGCACAGACCAAAGCCAACTGCGGACAAGTTCTGTTTGTAGGCACTTTGTCCTTGTTCTTACTGGGGACTCTGCCGGGCTTGGTGTGTGCTAACTGTGGCCATGCTGCATGGCTGAGCACGCTGCAGAGCTGGAGCCAGGCCAGAGGCTTCCCACTGCCGTAGGACCTCTAAGGGTGTGTTACTAAATCAGCATCTGTACCCTGATGGGTACACCAGGTAGCTTCCCCTTGCTGCTCAAAAGAGTGGGGGACGTCACACTTAGTCGCCTACCCCCAAACCTATTTCCACCTGCGAGTTTGTCAGGCCTCACTAGTCATGACATCTCCTTCCTCCTACAGTGTCTCGTGGCTCAGCTTCCTGTCCCCATGGTGTCCTCCTAGCCCGTCCTCCTCCCCAGTGTCCATCTTTCTGTTCTCATAGTATCTTCAGTCTATCTCAGTGTTCTCATTCTTCCTAATGCTGTGACCTTTTAATACAGTTCCTCCCGTTGTGGTGACCCCCAGTCATAAAATTATTGTATTGCTACTCGATGACTGTAACTTTGCTACTGTTACGAATCTGAATGTAAACATCTGCCATACAGGATATCTGGTAGGTGGCCCACAAAGGGTTGTGGCCCACAGGTTGAGAACCACTGACAGACATATCCAGTGTCCCTGTAGTCATTCTCTGGTCCACATGTTGTCCTGCATTTTGTCTTCCTATCCAGGGTCTCTGTGGTCCATCTTCCTGTCCCCAGGGTGTCCCCACAGTCTATCCTTTTCCAGTGGCCCTTTGGTTTATCTTCTTGTTCTGTGGTGTCCTGCAGTCCATTCCCCTGTCTACTTGGGATCCTACAGCCCACCTGACTGTCCACAGTGTCTCTATGTCTCACCCCCCTCCTCTTGGCGGTGCTATGGCTGCAGGTTCTGAAGCTTCCCCGACCGCAGGTCTGTGACAGTTCCCTCTCCACTGAGCCACGCTGCCCCGGTGACCTACTTTATTCTTTGTAGCACTTGATCTCATCTGAAATCCTCCCCTTGAGTTTCTCACTTGAGCATCATCCATCTTCCTGGGCAAACTCTCTAACAAAGGGGTCTACAATAGCTCCCTGCAGGTGGTACTTGCTGGGTGTATCTTGATGAACAGAGTGGGTCTTTGTTTCGCAGATGACAAACCCAGAGCAGTTCAGTGACACACCCAGTCACATCCTCTCACATCTCACTTGTTACCTGAGTCCAGGGCTCTCTTGATGGGAACAGACTGCCCCTCTAGACAAAGAAGGAAACAGGGAGCAATGAGATGGGGTGTTTGTAGCCCCCTGTGGTGGTTTGGATGAGAACGGCTCCCATAGGCTCCTATGTTTGAATACTTGATCCCCAGTTGGTAGAACTGTTTGGGAAGGATTAGGAGGCGTGGCCTTATGGAGGTAGTATGTCACCAGAGGTGGGCTTTGAGGTGCTATTCCCAATGAGTTCTCTCTCTCTCTCTCTCTCTGCCTTATGCTTATAGATCAAAATGTGAGCTCTCAGCTGTTCCTGCTACCATGCCTTTTCTCTGCCATCATGGAAGTTATACACCAATTAAAATTCTTTCTTTTATAAAGTTGCCTTGGCCCAGGCAGTGGTGGCACACAACTCTAATCCCAGCACTCGGGAGGCAGAGCCAGGCGGATCTCTGGGAGTTTGAAGCCAGCCTGGTCTACAGAGTAAGATCCAGGACAGGCACCAAAACTACATGGAGGAACCCTGTCCTGAAAAACCAAAAAATAAAAATAAAGTTGCCTGGGTCCTAATGTTTTGTCACAGCAATAGAAAAGTAACTAAGACAGAAGTTGGCACCAGGAGTGGGGTATTGTTGTGATAGACCTGACCATGTTTTGTTTTGTTTTTCCTTCAGGAATGTGGAGGACTCTGGGACTTTGGACTAGCAAAGCAGTCGAACACTGTAAGTGAGGTTTAATGGGCTTAATCCTAGTAGGAACTTGGAACACAATAGCACTGAGACCAACATGGACAGTGGAGCCCCAGCTCAAGAGGTTTCAGAGGAGCTTACTGGCGAAGCTAGAAACCATTGAGGTATTTTGGCAACAAATGTGGCTGCTTTTTGCCTTTGTCCTAACAATCTGCCTGAGGCTAAATTGAAAAGTAATGGACTAACTTCCTTGGCAGAGGAGATTTCCAGACAGCCTAATGCTGGCTCTGTCTCATGGTTATTAGTAACCACTCCTGTGCAAGTGTATAATAAAAAAGAGCATGTGGGACAAGAAGAAACACAAAATGTACAGCTGGAAGAGAAAAAGAGCACCAGGAAATGTCATGTTGGAGCCCAGGCTTATCCCAGAAGAGGTAAGGAGACCAAAGAGAGGCCTGACCTGCATTAAGATAAAGGGGGGACACCATCAAGGCAGGACCCCCACCCAGCTGAGCTCTAGCCTGTGGCAGGAAAGGCCTAAGGAATGTCCTGCCCTTAAAAGCCAGCACGCCTTTAATTCCAGCACTCTGGAGGCAGAGTCAGGCAGATCTCTGTGGGTTCGAGGCCAGCCTGGTCTACAAAGCAAGTTCTAGGACAGGCTCCAAAGCTACACAGAGAAACCCTATCTCAACAAAACAAAACAAAACAAAAAAAACAGCAAATGAAAGAATGTGATTAAGGAGGGCAGGCTCCATTCCAATAGGCAGCCCTACTGGGCAGGACTGTCGACATGATTCTGACTTTAGAGTCATGAAGGATACATAAGCGAAGGTGTCTTCGAATCTCCCTCCCAGGTTAAGGAGAGCCCCTGAGACCAGGTGTGTGTCAGGGGAGTCCCGGCCTGGAGACCCTGAGAGGCCACTGTGTGAAGTTGTGGAAGCGAAGCCGGGATTGCAGTGGAGACCCCAAGATGTTAGAGGTGCCAAAGCTGTGAGGTACCTGGCCAGGAGAGTTGCATGCAGGGTGTGGAACTAGCAGAAGAGAGAGTAGTGTGCTGCAGTCAGCAGGGCCGGAAGGGTGGAGCCATCTAAGGCCTTTGCTGTGGAGCTACTGCAGACTTTCTGTCTTGCTTTGGTCCAATAGTTCCTCACTGTACCCCAGTTCCTCCCTTTTAGAATGGTAATGTGTATTCTGTGCCATTGGATATTTGGAAGTAATTGCTCTTTGACTTTTATCGGGGGTTACTCACAATTAAGAGACTGCTTTGAGTCTCAAAAGAAAATTTGAACATTGAACTTATAAACAGTGTTGGGAATGTGAAAGACTGTGGGGACCAAGTTGGACTAAATGCATTTTGCTTTACGATGTGGCTGATAGCCAGTGGTATTCAGGGAGTGGCATGTGGTGGTTTAAATGAGAACGATCCCTATATACCCATGTATTTGAATACTTGGTCCCCAGTTGCAAGTTGGAACTGTTAGGGAAGGACTAGGAGGTGTGGCCTTGTGGAGGAGGTGTGTCAATGGGGGTGGGCTTTGAGGTATCAAAAGCCCATGCCATTCCCAGTGTGCTCTCTCTGCCTTGTGCTAATGAATCAAGATGTGGGCTCTTGGCTGTTCATACCACCACCATGCATTTGCTCCACCATCAAGGACTCCAACCCTGAATCATAAGCCTACATGCTTTCCTTTATAAGTTACCCTGATGGTAGTGCTTTTTATCACAGCAATAAGAAACCATTTAAGATGGCTCCTGAAATGGAAATAGTGTTTTGTGAAAGTGTTCGATTTGCTCAGTGCCAAGTGAAGTAAGAAAACCACCATGGAAATTCCAATTTGATGGCCAGCTAGCCAGGCTGAAGATTTTGGAGGCCTGGGGCCTCTGGGTTCATCAGCACCCCTCCATGAAATTCTTTAGTAGCTTCTACAGCAGGCGTGCCAATGGGAATGTTAGGGATTTGTTGATTTAAATATTTAGTTTTATTACTTTTATTTCTGCATCGATGTATGTACATCTATGTGTGGGCATGCATATATCAATGCAGTTGCCCTCAGAGTCCAGAAATGGCCATCAGATCCCTCAGAGTTAGAATTACAGGTGGTTGTGAATTATCCAACGTTGGTGCTGGGAACTGAACCCAGGTCCCCTGGAAAAGCAGGAAACACTCTTAATCACTGAGTCATCTCTCCAGCCTGGGAATTTATTTGCTTTTGATCTACCATCTGTGAGAAGTTCGGGGTTATGAAATCATGTCCAAATGAATGGATTAGGGCCTGAGGGTCCCTTGTTAGTTAATGGACACAGACCTTAGGACATGGTCTCTGAGCATATATTTTGAACAAGACCCCATGCTTGTTAGTCTTAAGAATGTTCTAGATGATTCAGAGAGTTAGAGTCTATATTAGATCTTCAAAAAGGCCAGGTGTTACTCTGGATTCAGGTCCATCACAAAGCGTATGTTTATCTTTTTTCATCTTTCATCTGGAAGATGTCATGGCTCAGTCTTTGCAGGGGGGGGGGCTCTGCACTGGGACTGGTCCCTTTCTCCTGAAGGCAGGAGAGTGGGGAGGAGCCAACCCTGGATGATGGGAGGGCTTTCTGCTGGCTTCCAGCTGCCCACAGTGACTAAGAATGATGCATGAAAATAGCAGCTGAAAATGTCACCGCCCACCTACCAAACTTTCCAAGAAAGAGAAACACTGGCCCAGGCGATGCCGCCTGTGCGCAATATGAAGCAGGAGCTGTTTGTGGCGGGAGACAAGACTTCCCTTGGAAGTGATGTGGCTTGGGGCGGGGCTTGCTTGCCCACTGTTGTGTGGCACTATTCCTGGGAGACACGAACAAGTGTCTACTCAACACCCAAGTCCACGGTGGTGAATCAATGAGTTTTTTTTAGGGGTTACAGGAATAGAAATGACTCAACTGTGCCAAAGCCCACCGACCGCACTTTGGTGAGCATGGATGGGCGACAACTCCCCAAAGACGGAAGCCTGGAGCCTACTGCGCGACTTCCAGGAGGCTCAACAGGTTGGGGGTGTCCGTAATGGATCTGAGCCTCTTCTGGTCAGCTCAGCTGTCTGGGTCCTCTCACAGTCCTTACTGCTTATGTAAAGCCTGCAGAAGGAGGGACCTAGTGAATCTGAGCGGTTTCAGGGAATTCCTGAAGCTTTTGAGTTATTTCTGGATCTTAAGGAGCCTCCTTGCAGGATGGAATGTTTCATCTCCCCCTGTGTCTTAAGGTGCTTCCCTCCAAGACAGTTTATCAAGGAGGAAATTGCTGTATAACACCTGCCAACAAGTGGTTCCCAGTGTGGGTTTCCATGGCAGAAGCCTAACCGTTTCCCCTAGGCTAGGATGACAGACCCTGATGTCACCCCAATGACATGTCGGCAAGTAAGTAAACTCATCTGATTTTGGCATCCATCGGCTGGGAGCAGATTATCCTTCCGCTGTCCCTCTAGGTTGGAACAGTTCCTCCTGAGGGGAGAGGAAGGCTCCCGAAACTCACAAGAAATGTACATGGCTGAGGAGGCTCATGAAGCTTGCCAGGCCCCTCCCCGAAACAGTAAAGAACTGTGACAAGGACTGTCTCCAGTGGGGTATCTGCCTGCATGCTGGGCAGGGAGCTCCAGGGATGTCGCTTTATGAATCCCACACTGAGATGAATCCTTGCGGGGCGGCAGCTGCACACACACGTCACCCAGGCTCCTGTAAATATCTCCTCCCTTACGCTTGTGTAAGTTGTCCCGATAAAGTCCTTTCTTCACCATGCTGAGCTTGGACGGAATTGTTTCTTTGCTGGGCCATTGTCTCCTCTACTGGGGTGAACAGAAATGACTCTCAAGGAAAAGTATCCCTACGGTAGCGAGCACACTCTTCTTGTACGCATGGTCCTCTGGAGGGTGGAGTTCGGTGGGAGCACTTGGGTTTTGAAGGTCTGGGATCCCTCCAGACAGAGGTCTCCCGTTAGTGATGAGAACAGTGTGTAGGTGCTTACCCACTGAGCCACAGGCTTCTAGACCCCTAGGCCCAAGCAGCCATGTCCTGAAGCAGCTAAGAAAATGTCTAAATATATTCATGATGAAGAGGGATATCCCAGGAATCACGTTGCCTGGAGGCCAGACAGTGCCATGATCTATTGGCATGGAACTCCTGGGGTGGACAAATCCAGCCTATGAGGACATAAGCCAGGCAGGAACACAGGCAGGATGGCCATCCTGTATTAGGGCAGGCACACCTGAAGGTTTGTGTGTTCATGCATGTGATGAACATGGCATGGTCATCTTCAGGCATCTTCCTCTAGTGTTCTCCACCTTCTTATTTATTTATTTATTTATTTATTTATTCATTCATTCATTCATTCATTCATTCATTCATTCATTCATTCAAGGCAGGGTCTCTCACTGAACCTGGGACTCACAGTGTGCATCCTGGTATCAGCTATGACACTTGTGGTGCCTTTGTGGACACTGCCCATCCAAGTCCTTGGGGACAGGAGTCCAGGTATGCCAAGTAGCTGAGGGACCAGCACAGAAGGCAACAGGTGCCAGAGCCAGGATCTGGCATTGAGCCTGGGGTGTAGGACTGGTCTGTTAACAGCAGGGTGCTATTTATAGAACTCTACTGTGATTCATGGCTTCTGCTTAAATACGTCAGTGTCTTTAGAGCACAAAGCATGGTATTTAAAAATGTTTTTACGAGTGGGGTGGGAAGGTGGGCCGAGGGACCTGCTGTTATACCTGGGCCCCAGGCCAGAAGCAGAGTCCTGGAATTCCTGAACTGGAGGACTGTGTCATGGAGCCCCCACCACACACATACACATACACCATGCACACAGCACATGCATACCTCATACCACACACATACACACTCCCTACACATACCACACACACACACCACATACCACACACATACACAGTGCATATCACACACACCACACCACACCTACTACATACATACCACACTCACACTCCATACACACACCACATACAACACACACCACATACCACATACACACATACACACACACCACATACCACACACATATACACAGTGCATATCACACACACCACACCACACATACTACATACATGCCACACACACACCACACCACACACACTACACACATACCACACACACCACATACCACTCATACTATACCACACATACCACACACATACATACACACACACTACATACATACCACACACACACCACACTACCCACATTATACACATACCACACACACCACACTACACACACTATACGCATACCACACACATACACACATACCATACACACCACACCATATCACCCCCCACACACTCACACACTCCACACACACCACATACCCCACACATACCACACACACCACACACACACATACACACCACACACACACTACACATATACCACACACACACCACACTACACTACACACACTATGCGCATACCACACACACACACCATACACACCACATATCACACACACACACACACACACACACACACACACACACACACACACACACTCAGGAGCCCCTCAGCTGTCTAGCTGGAAGAACAGGGCTCCTTTGGGTCACTTCTACACACAGTGCTGCACCTGCTCTGAATGGGCGGGGCTGGGTGGGAACAGTGCTTTTGAGGTGGGCCTCGTGGCTGTTACTCTTTCAGGAGAAGAGGTGAAGGCTGTGGGTCACGACGGGCTTCGGCCCCACCGGAATGTCAAACGGGGACAGTGGGGCTGTGACCCAGGGTGAGGCCAGCTTTTTGCACCCTGCGGCCTCTCTGAAGGCACAGAGAGGTGGGTCTGGAGGCAGCCACGGGGAGGGGCCAGTGCAGCTGCAGGTTGACCACCTGACAGCAGCTTCTGGGACCTTCCTTGGGCTTATCTCGTCACCCTAGTCCTGTTGTCCTGGTACCTCCACTCCTGCCCTGCAACTCATGGGGCCCTCAGCACAGCGAGGCTCCAAAGACCAGGACTCCTCGCTCTTCTACTTTGGTTCCTGCGGCTGTGATAAACATCATGATCAAAAGCAACTCGGGGAGGAAAGGGTTGATCGGGCTTACAGGTTACATCCCATCATTAAGGAAAGCCAAGGGCGGGCCCAAGGGAGGAACCTGGGGGCAGGAAATGATGCAGAGACCACGGGGCCATGCCGCATGGAGGACTGCTCAATGGCTTACTCCCCACGGCTTGCTCAGCCTGCTTTCTTAAACCATCCTGGACCACCTGCCCAGTGGCACTGCCCTTGGTGGGCTGGGCCCGCCTCATCAATCATCAGTCCAAAAAAAATGTCCCCACAGACATGCCCACAGGCCAGTCTGATGGAGGCAGTTCCTTAATTGAGGTTCCTTCGACCCTGGTGACTGTAGCTTGCGTCGAGTTGACAGAAACGGAGCCACGAACCTCCTGCTGGGACAGGAGCGTCACACCCAGTGAGCTTCTGCGAGACCCCCACACTGTGTCTCTCATGTAGTTGCCTGACCCAGCAGAAACCTGCTGTCTCCCTGGGGACCGTCCTGAGAGAACACACGGAGCCTGTCATTGCTGAAGTCACGGTGTTTTTTCCCTGTCAGACACTGGACTTGGGACAGAGGTTCGGGAGAGGACACATGAGAACCTGGTATGGTAGGACACACGAGATGATGATAGACAGTTGTGGGCAACACCCTGGGTATGCCCTGCCCCTTGATGACACACTTCTCACCGTAGGAACATGGTGGCACTCCTGGCCTCTGGCCTTTGGTAAAAGTGTTAGATGTGGGTTCCGTGGTTTGACCCTGTATACAGGATGCCCTCTAAACCAACATCGAGGATCTCAGGTGCCTATGGGTGGTGAGAGCCCCAGGGGCTGAGAGCTACCTGGGGTGGACACCCAGCAAGGAACCCAGACTCTGGATCCGGGATGGCAAAGAGCTGAATTTCGACAGCTCATTGAATGAGCCTGGGCACGACCCTGCACTCACATATGTGTACACAGTCACACAAGGCAGACCCAACAGCTGGGCCTGTTGGTACACATCTGTAAACGGTGCTCAGAAGGCTAAGACAAAAGGATCCCATGTTCAAAGCCAGCCTGGGCTTATATAATAAGGCTGTATTAAAGAAAACTCAAATGAAACAATAGCAAAAAATGCAAGGGGGAACCCCGATACTCAGATTTTTCTGGGGCACGGTAAAAGTTTAAGGAGAACATTATCACGTGTGGGACCTGGGCTGGGGAGGAAGACCGCTTTGGACACCACTTCAGGCAGAGAAGAAGCGAGCAGTTCACTGACCCCTTCCTGCAGCTCGGCCACACGGCCGCTGTTGTCACCGTCTCTATCTTCTGCATCACAAGGACAGCGCAGCCCACCCAGGCACAGAACAGGCTTGGGCTGTCGGGACGCCTTAGAGCTTAGATTTGGGCCCGGGGCTCAGGTCTGCGTCCTTCCGTCCCACCTGCTGGGCCGTGTTCCTGGCTTGCTCTCGTGGGGAAGAAAGCCCTGGTGGAGTTCAGAGCCCAGCTGCTGCAGAAGCAAGAAAGGAGCTACTCCTCCCACAGGGCAGAGGGCGGAGGGCAGGGGCAGAGGGTTGAGGGCGGAGGGCAGAGGGTGGAGGGCAGAGGGCGGAGGGCAGGGGCGGAGGGTTGAGAATGGAGGGCAAAGGGCAGAGGGCAGAGGGTGGAGGGCAGAGGGTGAGGGTGGAGTGTGGAGGACAGAGGATGAAGAAAGCAGAGGTTCACCTGGGGGCCAGAGGGTAGGCCACTGAAGATTCCACATATCTGCTGCCCATCTCAACACCCAGACTGTATGGAGGCCCCTTCAGCTCTCCATATGCCACCTGTCCGTTCACATGCAGCACTGTGTCCGCCATCTTTATCCCTTCCCTCCCCACCACTGTCCCCTCCCTTACCCCTAAGTTCCCTTCATCAAATATTCCAATAGAATACCTCCCCTCAAAGCCAGGTCTGGTGGCACAAGTCTGAAATCCCAGCTACTCAGGAGGTTGAGGCAGGAGGATCATGGGTTCAAGACCAGCCTGGGCTACAGAGTGACTGAGTCTGGGTGGCTTGCCAAAGACAATCGAGAAAGAGCTATCAATCTGTCAATCCTGTCCGTGTCCGGGCCGGGTGAGGTTTCCCGTGTCACCAAATGAGTAATAAAGAGGCCAGGGATACAGTTCAGTGGTAGAGTCTGTCTAGCATGCACAAGGTTCTGGGTTCAGCAACAAAACCCAAACAGTCAAGAAACCAGAAAAAAGCACCTTAGATTTAAAAAAGCATGACTCCGTCATTTGCTCATTAAGATAGGGTCTTTCTATGTGTAGTCCTGGCTGACCTGAAACTCACTGCGTAGACCAGGCTGGCCTCGAACTCACAGAGAATTCACCTGCCTTCTGGGACTAAAGGTGTGCGCCACCACAGCCAGGAAGTATGGCTTCCTTAAAATGACCTTACCGATACACAGATCTCACCTGTGTGAAGCAAGCGGACCACCGCCCTGGTTGCTTTGGGCGGGCAAGCCAGTTTTCCTCTGAGGAGATTTGGGTCTCTTTGCTTCCTGGTGTTATTTTTGGAGCGCCATAAGCAGGCCTGCTTAGGAGGTGCTCATTCTGATCTGTGTGTTTTTCCCTCTGGTATAAAATCCAGTTTATCGCTCAGTCCTATAAATACCATGTTTCCCTCAGCTTCCGGGATGGCACGTGATGAAACCAACAGACCCGTGTCTTCCTCAGTGTTTGCCTTTTCTTGTCTGAGTTTCCCTGGGGACAG